TAAGTATAATGCTGGCTGTAGGTTTGTCATATATAGCTTTTATAATGTTGAACTTTCCTTCTATTCCTAGTTTTCTTAGAGCTTTTATCATGAAATGTGTTGGATCTTATCAAAGGCTTTTTCTGCATCTATTGAGATGATCAAGTGGTTTTTGTCTTTGCTTCTGTTAATGTGGTTTATTACGTTTATTGATTTTCGTATGTTGAACCACCCCTGCATCCCTGGGATGAAGCCTACCTGGTCGTGGTGAATAATCTTTTTGATGTGTTGCTGAATTCAATTTGCCATTATTTTGTTGAGGATTTTTGCATCAATGTTCATTAAGGAGATTGGCCTATAGTTCTCCTTTTTGGAGGTGTCTTTGCCTGGTTTTGGGATAAGTGTAATAGTGGCTTCATAAAATGTGTTTGGCAGTTTTCCTTCCCTTTCTATTTCATGGAACAGTTTAAGGAGGGTTGGTATCAGTTCTTCTTTAAAGGTCTGATAGAATTCAGCAGAGAATCCATCAGGTCCTGGACTTTTCTTTTTGGGGAGACTCTTGATTGCTGCTTCAATTTCATTTTGTGTTATAGGTCTATTCAGGTGATTAATTTCCTCTTGGTTCAGTTTTGAATGAGTTGTTTCTTGTAGTCAACTGATGATCAGGACTTGTTTTTTAATCCAGTCTCCCAGTCTGTATCTTTTGATTGCAGAATTGATACAATTACATCCAAAGTTATTATTGATATCTATGTAGTAATACCTGCCATTTTATTGGTTTTGTAGTACGTAATTTTTCCTTACTCCTCATTTGCTTATCCACTCATCTAGTGAGATTTATTCTTTCCCATATTTTCTTTACTGTGTTTATTTTCCTCCTTTATATGTCCTTTAAATGTCTTCTGCAGTGCTGGTTTAGTTGTCATGAGTTGCTTAGTTTTTAATAATGGAAAGTTTTTATTTCTCCTTTAATTATGAAGGGTGACTTTACTCGGTACAGTAATCTAGGTTGGCAGTTACTTTCTTCCAGGATTCAAAATGTATCAGTCCATGCCCTCCTTGCTTTTAAAGTTTCTGTTGAGAAATCAGTTAAAAGTCTGATAGATTTGCCTTGCTAGGTGATGTCGTACTTCTCTCTTCCACTTTAAATACTGGTTCCTTGTTCTGTATGCCTAATATTTTACCTATAATATAACACAATAAGGTTCTTTTATAGTCTGTCTCTTTGGAGTCTTAAAGCCTCCTGTGCCTGGATGACCATCACTTTTTCAGAATTTAGGAAGTTAACGTTTTATTGAATGTGTTTTCTATGCCTTTACCTTGCACACATCTTTTTTCTTCTATGCTCATGATTTATAGGTTTGGTCTTTTAATGGTGTCCCAGTAGTCTTCCTGCTCCACTCATACTTCTTTAGTTTGTTGGTTTTCTTCTCCCCCTCCCCTTCCTACTTTCCTTCTCTCCCTTCCTCTTTCCCTCCCTATTTCCCTCTCTTTCCCTCTCTCTTTCTGTCTTCATCTGCATGTTCTATACATATACCTTGTCCTCAAAGCCCTGATATTCTGTCTTTAATTTGATCCAGTCTACTGGAGAGATTTTCCACTATGTTTTTATTTGACTTACTGAACTTTTCATTTCCAGAATTTCAATTTGAGGTTTTTTTTAGAATTTCTGTATCTTTTAAATTATTCCTTTGTGTGCTTCATTATTTTCTTTATTTCATCTCTTTGAGTTTTCTTGGAATTCAGTCATTTAGTTTTGTCCTCTTTTATTTTATTGATCTGTCTTAAAATCATTTTTATGGATTATTTATCTGAGATCATCTTCTTCAGTATCATTAGCATCCATTCCTATGGAATAGTTGGCTTTTGGAGAAGTCACCTTACCTTGTGTTTTCATATTTTTTGTGTTTCTGCATTAGGATTTGTGCATCTGTGGCCAAATTGTTGTTTAGAAGTTTTAATCAACCATAACCTTTCAGTTGAATTATTCTCAGTTTTCAGGAAGGACTATGTAATAGTTGGGTTGAGGTACTATTTCTCACCACTGTATTAAATCCCCAGCACTGCTCAAATTGAGGTAAACTGAAGTCTTTTGCAGAATGGTTGGTTGTCCACTTTTGGTCTGCTTTCACTATAGAAATATATCTTTGTGTACTGTGAGCCACTTCAAGCTGAAAGGAGCTTTTCAGTCTGGTTAGTTTCCCACTTGCTGCAACAGGACAGCAAGCAGAAAACCCAGGGGTGACCCCTTTATGTGCCAAGAGCTAGGGGAAGGCTTAGGGACCTAGGTACTTTGCCTGCTCATCTCTAGGCTTACAGATTCTACCCTGCAGTTCACCTCCCTTTTGGGGGGAGGAGGATATAGAAGTTGCATGATTCAGAGGGTCTGGACTTTGGGACCTCCATTCCACCTGTCAGCAAACACCCATCAGCCTGCAGTTTCTGGAGGGTTAGTCTCAATACTTTCAGATCCTACCCTGCAATTTATCTCCCTGTGTAGGGGGAGGAGACATGATTCAGGGGAACCTTGTCTCAGGGCCCTCAGACCTACCTGTTAGCCAGTACATGTTGGGATGCGGTTCACCTCCCTATTCAGGGGAGGAAGCTGTGAAAGTCACATATTTTGGGGTGGGATGGTATCTGGGCTCTGGACACCCCCACACACTAGGATGTAGTTGCTGGAGGTAAGCCTCTGTGCTTTCAGACCCTATGCAGCCATTCACCTTTTATGGTGGGGAGTGAGAGGCTATAGGAATCACATGATATAGAAGACCTGGCCTCTGCACCAGGCTTCAGACCTGCCTGGTAGCCAACACACACCAGGATTCAGTTACCAACCAAAGTTGGGCCTTACTGTAGGCCCTGGCCAGCAGTTCTCCTCTCTTTGGGGATGAGGAGGCTGTGTATGTCACATGTTGGAGGTTCTGAGCTCCAGGTCCTCAGACCTACCTAGCAACCAACACATGCAACCAGGAGGCAGGCTCTGGAAGCCTACACCGGCCACAGATGGGTGCTTTGTTCTGTTGTGACTCAATAGGACTAGCTCCTTGCCTGGGTGCCCAGGGCCTCCACCTGCTGTTCCCTTCCCTTGGTGGTGCTCCTCAGTGCTTGAACTTCTCTACGATACTATGTCGGGCCCTTTCCCTCTCCATGACCATATTCCACCCAGACGCTGTTCCTGGGTGTTCCATGACTCCTTGAGCTGTGATTATTCCTTGTTTTCAAGCCCTCAGAGTAGCTGAGGCAGAAGATGCCTCTTGCTGTAGCTATCAAAGATGAGTAAAGCAACAGAAGGTCTTCCTCCATTGAGGCTAGCCTTCCATACTGGAGCACTCACTATTTTATCAGTCCCCCGCACTGGGTTTAAGCTCGAGTCGGGATAGGTTTATCCTGCAGCTAGAATTGCCAATTTGTTGTCTCTGCCATCTGACTTACCTTGTGATTGCATCTTCATTCTCCCCTCCCCATCCTGGGGAGCCAGTGATGGGGCTTGCAACTATGTGCTGCTTTTCTTTTCTTTTTTTTTTTGGCAGCACTAGGGTTTGAACTCAGAGCCTCACACTTGCTAGGCAGGCTCTTTTACCACTTGAGCCGCTCCTCTGTGCTTTCCTATTCTGCTGTGTCTTGTTTGTGATTCCTAATGCTTTTCTTCTCTTTCTCTTTTCAGAGTATAGTCTCTCCTGTGTTATGTAACTCTTCTCATGCACAATCAAAATGGTGAACACTTCTAATTCTCCATCTTGCCCCCACTCCCTAGTTTCTTTGGGGTTTTTTATGAGACAGGTTCTTTCTGGGTAACCATGATAGCTCTGAACTTTTTTGATCTTTCTACCTGGGTCTCCCATATGTTGGGATTACAGCTGTGTGTCACCTCACCCAACTTGTAATTACTGTATTTAGCTGGTTTTAGAAGAGTAAGTTCATGCTTTTTGGTTTCCTCAGCTCTTAAGTGAAAGGGATTTTACATATGAGGGAATCTTATGGATCACTTAGTCTTATTCCTTTTCTTTTTTTCTAATTTCTTTTTTTTATTTTTGGCAAAACTGGGGCTTGAATTCAGGGCCTCACACCTATTAGGCAGGTGCTCTAACATTTGAGCCACTCTGCCAGTCCTTTTCTTTAAATCAAAGGAAAAAGCCCTATAAACAAATGTACATTTATTTATTTCTGTAATTTTGATGACCTGTATATGAATTTCAGTAATAATAATAATAATATAATTTTCTGTCCTAATACTCAATATTATTTATGGAACAGTAATCTTGTTCAACTTACTTTGCCATGTGATTTTTATAATTTAAGATGGCGCCTAGAAGCTAAATCCAGATAACTGCAACCTGTGACCCTAAGAATGGTTTTTATGTTTATATATGGTTGGAAAAATGAGAAGAATACTATCCTGTAAAAATCACATGTAATTCAAATTTCATTGTCCACAAAGTTTTATTGAAACACAGAAATATTCATTAACTTGATTCGCTGTCTATAGCTGCTTCTGCATTATAGTGGTATAGTTGATGATTACTATAAAGATGTATAATCTGAAAAGCCTAAAATATTTACTGTCTGACTTTTTTCTTTAAGTTTTCTTTTGGGGTTTGAACTCAGGGCCTCATCTTGCTTGGCATGCCGCTCTACCACTTGAGCTGCTACTCCAGCCCTGTTTTTGTTTTGATTGATTTGGGGTGTAGCTCAGTGGTAGAGTTCTTGCCTCATTTGTGTGAGGCCCTGGGTCTAGAAAGGGCAAGGAGACTCCAGTACAGGTCCAGTGTTTGACCTCGTATATGTCTGACTTCTCACTGTAACTTCACATCATGGAAAGGGCCAGTGGTCTTTCTCTGGGCCTCTTAGAAAGGCATTGATGCTTCTCATGAGTGCCCTACCTTCTAATACCATCATCTTTGTAGTTAAGATTTCAGCATTTGAATTGTGGGGGCAGACCATGCAGACACCTAGTATAAATGATCTTTAGAAATCAAAACTCAGGACAGGCTATCATGTGATCTTTGTGTATATTTTAGATTTGATGAGTTTGATGAAGCAATTGATGAAGCTATAGAAGATGATATCAAAGAGGCTGATGGAGGAGGTATGTTTTTTTTATTTGTTCTTTTTCATATAGCTCTGCCAAAAAGTTAGTCTCCCCAGTGTGCATCACTATGATTTAATGTTTCTTGTCTTAGATCCAAAAATAACCTGTTGATACAGTTTCAGTGTATTGACCCAGATCTTACTAATTATTTCAAAGGTGGTTTTGTTTTATGAACTAACATAAAATCTTAATATTTCTCCATAGATTAAAAACGGTAGTTCTGGTTCCAAATATAATAGTAAGGCTCTTCCCTGTTGTCTCTGAGAATATAAAGTCTCAAAATTTGTGAATATCCAGAATCTAAATGATTCCCTTCAATTAAAAATCAGTTTACTAATTTCCTAGTCTTTCAACGGTGATATTATAGTAGAATCATTTGAAGGTAATTACTAAAGCTAGTTAGTAATGTGAATGTAGAGCCTTCTGTTTCCACTTACTACGAAAACTTCAGAAAGGATTAATATGTAGGTATTTATAAAGGAACTGAGATCTCAGCTATTCCAGAGTGTGTGCCTTTTTTACCTTTTTCCCAGTTTTTCTGTCCTGAAAAATGTTTTTTGTTTGTTTTTAATGACTTGACCTCTTACTAAAGTCTTTCCTAAAAGACTGGTTTCAAGAATCACAGTTCAGGGAGGCACCAGTAGCTCACACCTGTAATCCTAGCAACTTGGAAGGTTGAGATCAGGAGTATCGAGGTTTGGGGCCAACCCAAGCAAATAGTTTGAGAGACCCAATCTCCAAAATAACCAGAACAAAATGGACTGGAGGTGTGACTCAAGCAGTAGAGCACCTGTTTTGCAAGCATGAAGCCCTGAATTCAAACCCTGGTCCCACCATAAAGGAAAATCACAGTTCAAAGCCAGCCCAGGCAAAAAGTTAGCAAGACCCTATCTCAGCCAATAACTTGGTCCTAGTGAGCTGTATCTGTGATCCCATCTATGCAAAATCTGTAGGTAGGAGGCTCGTGAACTGAGACTAGCCCTGGACATAAATGTGAGCCTCTTCCTGAAAAATAAAGTCAGAAAGAGCTGGTGGCGGGGGGAGCATGCTTCAAGTGGTAGAACACCTGCCTAGCAAGTGCAAGGCCATGAATTTGAACCCTAGTTCAAATTCAAACCACAAAAAATAACAAAAAAGATAAGTGTTGCATTGGGTAATGTGGCATACTCCTGTAATCTCAGCAATAGGATCCAGAGTTCAAGGCCAGCCTGGGCTACGTAGTCAGACCCTGCCACCAAAAAAAAAAAAAGAAGAAGAAGAAGAAAGTATCACAATTTTAAGACTTTAAATCAGAATTTAACAATACAAGATTCTCTGCAGTGTCAACTTCTTTTCAGTAAGATTAAAAAAATCTCTCTGAGAGCTCTGTCAGCTGAGAAATATGTGTATTTATGGGAGGAAAGAAATTAAACCTGCAAATTAAGAAGGCTTAATCAACATACAGTTCTCTCTCTTCCTCAGGAGTTGGCCGAGGAAAAGATATCTCCACCATCACAGGTCACCGTGGAAAAGATATCTCTACTATTTTGGATGAGGAAAGAAAAGAAAATAAACGACCCCAGAGGGCAGCTGCCGCTCGACGGAAGAAACGCCGGCGACTAAATGATCTAGACAGTGACAGCAATCTAGATGAAGAAGAGAGTGAGGATGAATTCAAGATCAGTGACGGGTGTGTGCCTACGGCAAGACCCATTCGCTGGATGTCAGCTTCAGTAGGGTTGGGCTGGCAGAGAGGTTTGGCCATCCTGTGTTCGGGCTTTTGTTCTTCATATACGTAGTCCAGTGTCTCTTATTTTCAGAGTATTTACAGCAGATTGACGAGTGCTGATTTTTGTGAGGTGTGGTAGTCTATACCTATAATCCCAGCACCTGGAAGGCTGAGGCAGGAGGATCATGAGTTTAAGTCAGCCTGACCTACATAGTAAGACCCTGTCTCAAAAAACAAAATAAAAAAAGAATGCTGATTTTGATTGGTTTTAGATCAAAATAAAAACTGGTTTATGGTTTATTTAGTATTCCAAATTATATTTAAATTTGATTAACTACAGTTGAACATTCATTTGTTGAGCACTTTCTCTTTGCCACCTTTTGCTACCAGGTCCATGAGGGGGGGTTCCCAGTCAAATGTGAGAAATTAACAAATAATTAGTTAATATTCTCTGGTGACCTGTTGAGGTTGGGACAAATTATTCAGTATGAAAGATCAAGGAAGGTTTTTATGCAAAGCAGGTATTGAAAAATACTGCAATGTTTCTCTTTTCAAATTTGTTAGTAGAGATAATAAGCATATAAACCACAAAAAAAAGTTATTCTGGCTGGGCGCTATTGACTCACCTGTAATCCTAGCTACTCAGGAGGCAGAGATCAGGAGGATTGAGATTCAAAGCCAGCCCAGGCAAATAGTTCGTGAGACCCTATCTTGTGGAGTGGCTCAAGTGGTAGAGCGCCTGCCTAGCAAGTGTGAGACCCTGAGTTGAAACCCCAGTGCTGCCAAAAAAGTCATTCTTCATACTGCTACTAAAATACAGGGAAAATATAAAATAAGGTATAGAGCACAGTTAGATTAATTCAAGGAGGTTAGGGAAAGCCTTACCACAGGAGTAATGCTTAGTCTAAAATTTGTAGAATTCATATTTAGTGAGGTCGGTGAGTTTGAGATTAGAAGTAGGATGAAGAAAGAAGGTATCCCAAGCAGTGAAGTTTATGTTCAAGACAGCAAGCCGTAAAAGGCGTGGAATAGCTGAGAAACTCCTAGTAGTCAAGTTAGCAAGAGTATGGGGATGAAAAAGAGAATGTCCTATTAATCTCCTGTCCAGGAGATTAAAGTAAAACAAAACAAAAAAGAACTAGATTGTATTCTGTTTGTTGTGCAGGACTTTGTCTTGAAAATTCTGAAAAAGAATCACTGAAGAGCTTTAGATGGGAGAAATGAAAAGGGAAGAATTAAGATAAATACCAAGTTAAGTGTCTGGTTGTTAGATAGGTGATGATACCAAATACCAGGTTGGGGAACAAAAAAGGAGTAGGTTTGGAAATAATGAGCCCACGTTGGACATGATGAGTTTAAAGTATGTGGGGAACATTCCAAAGAGGCCAATGTAGTTTATACCTTTTTTTTTTGGCAGTACTGGGGTTTGAACTCAAAGCCTTGCAGCTCTGCCACTTGAGCCACACACCCAGCCTGAGGCCAATATAAACTATGAAAAAGAAAAACCCAGCATTAGCCATGTGCCAGTGGCTCATGGCAAAAAAATAACAGCTTTAATTCATCTTCACAGCCCCTCCAAAGAGAAGGATAGGTAGCAAGACACTTCATTTTATTTTGTTTTGTTTTATTTTATGTGGGACTGGGGTTTGAACTTAGGGCTTCTGTTTACAAAGCAATTGTTCTGCCAGTTGAACCACATTTCCAGTCCATTTTGCTAGGATATTTTGGAGATGGAGTCTCTTGAACTGTTTGCTCTGGCTGGCCTCTAACCACAATCCTCGTGATCCTCAGCCTCTCAAGTAGCTACAATTACAGGCCTGAGCTAACAGCACCAGCACCTTTTAGAAACAGAAATTGATACAATTGTCCAGATATGTTGTATTAAATATAATAATTGTTTTACTGAACTTGTTAAAATTTGTATTAAGAACTTATCAAAAATGTGGGGGGAGATGAGATAAAGGAGAATGATGGAGGGGTGAATTCAACTATAATATATTGTATAGAACTTTAGTAAATGTTACAGTATACCTCTAGTACAGCAACAATTTTTAAAAAAGGAGGTTGTCAAAAATGGCTTATCACTTCTAAGTGTGATAACCATCATAATTTATCTGTTTTGTTTTGTTTTTTGACAGATCCCAAGATGAGTTTGTTGTGTCTGATGACAACCCAGATGAAAGTGAAGAAGATCCACCATCTAATGATGACAGTGACACTGATTTTTGTAGCCGTAGACTGAGGCGGCACCCCTCTCGGCCAATGAGGCAAAGTAGGCGTTTGCGGAGAAAGACTCCAAAGAAAAAATATTCTGATGATGATGAAGAGGAGGAATCTGAGGAGAATAGTAGAGACTCTGGTATAAACAACTTTTGTCCATATCATACCAACTCAGTAAATCCGTATAACTTATGGAGTTAAGAGTTCTTAAAATTCCATTCAGTTATGATACAAGTTCCCCAAATTTTTGAGTCCTTTTCTTATGACTCACTGGTAACTAATTTTCCACATAGCATATTTGAGAAAATTCATACACATTGATGTGCTAACTTCATACCAAGAATCATGTAGGGTTGTGATGGATCCTTTTGGTGCCAACTGTTTCCGTGCCTAATTTATATAACCACAGTGAGTGATTCATACTTTTTCCAAATGAGCAATTATTAGTGTTCTTACAGCTTACACTTATCTTTATTAGCTGAATAAGTAGTGAGAAGTACAACAGCTAAAAGAAAAGACGAGTGCTTTGTGTAATTGACAAACAGGTGGTTGCTTCTTATGGGAAAAGTGCGATAGACATGAGTATTATATATTTGACTTTGGCCATCTGTTGGGTTACTTCGTTTTTTTCTAAAGCTTTGAGTAAGTGACAAAAATTATGCTTGTTTATGTGATTATTTCCAAAAAACAAGAAAATTTCCATACTTAATCGTTGTACAATTAATAGAATCAGAAATTTTGACATTTATATAATACTATTAACTAATGAACAGTACTCATTTGAATATAGGAGTCCCAAAACTTTCTATATGTTCATTTTTTTCTAGTCCAGAATCCAATGTAGGAGTATGCATTCCATATATTCATGTTTCTTTAGTCTGGAATGTCCCTCAAATTTTGTCTTTATTGACCATGACAATTTGAAAGAATAAAACTATTTTGTAAAACATTGCTCAATTTGGGTTTTTCTGTTTCCCTGTAACCATATTCTGGTTACATATTATTGGCAGGAGTATGATGGAGGTATTATGTCTTCCAGGTCTCTTTGTTACTAGTTTTCCTTTTAATTAATAAGTAATTTGTGGGAGGATTCTTTGAAGTTTTATAAATAACCAGATTTTTCACCTGTTACTTTTAGTTCCATTGAGAATTTTCCAGCTCCATCATTCCTTTTTATATTTATTAACCATTGCTCTGTAATGAATTAACTTTCCTCTCTCCATCTATTTATTATATCAGTATATACTTAAGGATTCTTATAATCATCAGTGAATTACTACATTACCATCACAAGTGCAGTTTGTCCCAGACTGGCCAATAGAAACCACTTCAAACTATTGGCTGTTTTGAAATGTTTTCAGTCCATTCCAGCACAATAAAGTTGGATGTGATAATTCACTAGAATTCATAAGCACTGAAAAACAGGTGATAGAAAATCTTAGTCTCTCACTCTGGTTTATTGACTAGAGATAATAAGAACAGTGCTGTTTAGCAGTGCTTTGAGAATTTAAGTAGCTCTGTATGCTTTTTTTAGTGGAGAAAAGTGAAAAATAGAACTCATCACTTCTGTACTTCTTTGAAACAGGCTTATTAGTTTTCTTTGATTAAAGAGTTATGAATATAGCCATATATAAGATCAACAGAATGAATTTTCTGGTGACTGAAGACACAGCACTTGTGGCAGCTGTGTACCTAATCAGGTAGCTCTCTAGGTTGAATGTAATAAAGATTATTTTTAAATATATTAAAAACATTGTCCTTTGGTTTCTGTTCTGTTTTGGTTTTGGCATTGCTAACGGTAGGGCACATGCTAGGCAAACACTCTGTCACTGAGTTCCAGTCCCAGCCCTTTTCCTTTTCGTCCATATTTTTTGTTTGTTTGTTTTTTGGCAGCACTGGGGTTTGAACTCAGGGCCTCACACTTTCTGGGCAGGTGCTCTGCCACTTGAGCCACTCCACCAGCCCTCCACGTTTTCTTGTCTTGAGGATTAACTGATAATAATATATATATGGAGGTTTGGCATTAAAGACCCTACAGATTAATTCATCTTATTAAAAAGAAAACAAGATTTATGAAAGTTATTATCCATCTGAAGTGTTGTACGATTAAACTCTGCTTAGTAACTTTACATTTTGTTAGTTTTTGTAGTTAACACTTCCACTAAATGAACCTAAATTTTATACTTATTTTTCCATTTTTTAATAGAAAGTGATTTTAGCGATGATTTTAGTGATGATTTTGTAGAAACTCGGCGAAGGAGGTCAAGGAGGAATCAGAAAAGACAAATTAACTACAAAGAAGATTCAGAAAGTGATGGTTCCCAGAAGAGTATACGACGTGGCAAAGAAATTAGGCGAGTTCACAAGCGCAGACTTTCCAGCTCAGAAAGTGAAGGTAAGGCATAGCTTTCCTATCTGAGAAAGTATGGTTGGGCAGAAATAGGCACTATAATGTAAATTTAGGATTGTGATTATGTACAGTTTTTTAAAACACCTACAAGCAGCAGTATCTTTAAGATAAATCCCATTATTTTTTCCTAATTACTGATTTTATAGTTTAAATAAATGATAAGATGCTGATTTTTAAGAATTCTGGGCACACTCACATCTATAATCCTAGTCACTTGGGAGGTAGAGATTAGGAGGATCATAGTTGAAGCCACTCCAGGCAAAAAGTTTGGGAGACTCCATCTCAACCAATAAAAGCTGGGTGTGGTGGCACATACCTAAGATATGAGCTTGTGATACCATTTAGCCTTTGTAGTTAATCTAGAGCTCTTCCAAAGTTCATTTTAAATGACCCTAACCCGCTCCTTCCCACCTTTCTTTCATACATTTAATTCATTATTGTTTGATTTGTTCTGAAAGTTGTTGGCTTTTATAGATTAAGCATGAAATAAATTGAGTATAAGCCAGGGAAATGGTTTGGAGGGGGGATGTTTAAATGCAGGAGGGTTAAAGAATAGAAGTAAACATTATATTGAGTGCTTATTTATATGCACATGTCATAAAGACAGACAAATTCATTCATTTAGTCATTAAATATGAATATTCAACTAGGCCCTATTCTAAGAACTGGCAATTTAACAGAGAACAAAATAACCCTCATGCAATTCTTACTTTTAGTTGGAGGTGCATGAACAATGAACAAGATAAATATGTAGAATATAAGACATATTTGATGGAGATTTGTGCTGTGAAGACAAAGGAGAAAAGGAGGTGGTAAGAGTAGTTAGAATTTCAGATTGGGTACTACAGAAAGTCATTACTAAGATGACACTATCTAAAGGCTGGGAGTGGAGCTCAGTGGTAGAGCACTTGCTTAGCATGCTTGAGACTCTGGGTTTGATATCTGCCACCATCACACACACTCACATACACACAAACACATACAGAAACAGAATTTAAGTGAAGACATGAAAGAAATGGCAAGTATGATTCATGAAGTTAACTTAAAAGAAGAGTGATACTGACAGAACAAGAGATGTGAAGGCCTTGAGCCAAGTTAGTGCCTGACATGTTGGGGGAACAGAAAAGAATCCATGGTTGTTGGAACCAAGTGAGGGCTTCTAAGTAGAGTATGAGATGAAGCATAGAGAACAGTGGGTGCCAGATCATACAGAACAACAGTCAATAAACTACAGCCCACTTATTTGCATGAATAAGCTTTTTGTCAATCAGGTTTTATTGGAAGATGGTTATCTCCATTTGTTTACATACTGCTGAGTCGTTCTGATAGAGACCCATATGGGGCCTGTCCTTTACAGAAAAATACTGTTAACCTTGGATGAAAAGCAAGGCTGTCCTCTTGAATCTGCAGTCTACAGTAATGGGCATATTCTGTATCCATGCTGATCAATTTGGTAAGCACTAGCCTTACATGACTATTCAGCACTTGAAATGTGGCTAGTGTGATAATGAAACTGAATTTTTGTGACTAGTGTCACCGTATTGGATAACCACAGAATAGGCCAATGTATATAGACTGGATCTTATTCTGTGTGAGATGGGAAGAAATTGGAAGATTTTGAGCAGGGAAGTGGGGTATGAGCTGCGTTCAATTTTAATTTTCTATGGTAGCTATGTTATAAATATGTGAAGGGTGCAAGGGGCAATAACTTGGAGACCAGTTAGGAGTTACTGATATAGTCCAGGTGAGAAAGGGTGATGGGTGAAAACTTGTCAAGGTATGGATAGGTTTAGAAGACAAGCACAAAGGATTTACTGCTGGGTTAGAATCAAGGAGCAATTTTTAAGAATAGAATGGCCAAAAACTAAAATGATAAAGACCATAATGCTGTAGGTTTAAGGGGAAAGTTTAAGAGGTTTTTTTTTTCATGTTAGGTTTACCAGCAGATAATCTGTATGTTAAACCATGAGACTAGGTGAGATCATCCATGAGTTAAATATAGACAAAGAAGAGAAAACATTCACAGACTACCAAGGGAATTTGATAAAATGAGATGAGAGTTAAACAGACGAACAGAGGGGTGCCCAGTTTTAATCTTCCTTATCAGTATGTTTACATGATTCCCTAATTATAGGACTAGTGGGAAGGAGTTTTCCAGTTTGTGACCAGTCTATCTTCATTTAATTCAAGGATCATCCAACTTCCCCATGAAATCTATTATTTCCTAAAATCATAGGTAAAGTATACAATGAATCACACTGGGCATTGGTACGGAACTGAAAGAGAAAGGAAAACAGGCCAGTTATTGAAGGGAAATAAGTATATATACACAGGTGTGAAAGCAGGCCACTGGATGCATATGGGAGAAGAGTACTTGAATCTGTTTTAGTTAATTGCCAATAAATGTGCTGTTTGTTCTAGAGAGCTATATGTCCAAGAACTCTGAAGATGAGGAGCTAGCTAAAGAAACAAAGCGGTCAGCTCGAAAGCGAGGCCGAAGCACTGATGAGTATTCAGAAGCAGATGAGGAGGAGGAAGAGGAAGGCAAACCATCTCGAAAACGGCTACACCGGATTGAGACGGATGAGGAGAGTTGTGACAATACTCATGGAGGTGTGGGTCAGCCTGCCCATGACAGCCAGCCCAGGGTCCTGCCCTCAGAGCAAGAGAGTGCCAAGAAGCCCTACCGGATAGAAAGTGACGAGGACGACTTTGAAAATGTAGGCAAAGTGGGGAGCCCATTGGACTATAGCTTAGTGGACTTGCCTTCCACCAATGGACAGAGTCCAGGCAAAGCCATTGAGAACTTGATTGGCAAGTCAACAGAGAAGGCCCAGACCCCCAAGGACAGCAGCACAGCTAGTGCAAGCCTAGCCCCCAATGGGACAAGTGGAGGGCAGGAGGCAGGAGCACCAGAAGAGGAGGAAGATGAGCTTTTGAGAGTGACTGATCTTGTTGATTATGTCTGTAACAGTGAACAGTTATAAAACTTTTTTTTTTCCATTTTTGTGCTAATTTATTCCACGGTAGCTCTCACACCAGCGGGCCAGTTATTAAAAGCTGTTTAATTTTTCCTAGAAAACTCCACTACAGAATGACTTTTTAGAAGAAAAATTTCAACAAACCCTGAAGTCTTTCTGTGAAGTGACCAGTTTTGAACTTTGAAGATAAATAATTGCTGTAAATTCCTTTTGATTTTCTTTTTCCAAGTTCATGGTCCTTGGTAATTTCATTCATGGAAAAAAAATCTTATTATAATAACAACAAAGATTTGTATATTTTTGACTTTATATTTCCTGAGCTCTCCTGACTTTGTGAAAAGAGTGGATAAGAATGCATTCCAAATCTATGAGGGCCCAAAACAGAATTTAGAGGGTGGGAGAAAGCACTTGTGCTTTAGCTTTTTCATATTAAATATATATTATATTTAAACATTCATGGCATAGATGATGATTAACAGACTGTTTAAAAATCCAAGTCTGTACTGTTGCAGTTTGAGAATTGTAGATAACATCATACATAAGTCATTTAGTAATAGCCTTCGTGAAGTCAACTTGTTTTCTATTGGAGTTACCACACTTTAAATAAAGAAGAGACCATGAAAGTACCATCATAAAAATACTTAAGCCTAAGTTTCTGTTATAGCGGAGTTTCTTGTCTGAAAAAAACAAAATCATCTGAAAAAGGTTTGTACAGTAAAAAGTATAATGAAGCTTTGACAACCAGATTGTGCTAGTAACAAATATTTTAAAATAGCTTTATGCAGTGGTAATAAGGTGGCCTCTAATTTACTATGTCTGGTGGAGAGTTAGTGAAATGAGTGTGATCTTTGATAAAACCCAGGTGGACTATAAACTCTGCTGGCAGTGTAACTCTTTGTCTTCTGGCCACTTGATGTTTAAATATCTGAAATGTCATTTTGAGAAAAATAACATCTCTATGTAACATACAGGAAGAGATGCTAAGTTGACAATGGTATTTTAGCACATTTGAAGACTGGGAAGGGATTTTCAGGTGAATTTTAACTGGTCTATTCTTGCCCTTAGTATCTACTTCAAATTGAAGTCTACAAACAAAGCAGTTCCTTTGGGAGGTTTTTAGTTTTGAGTTTTAGTGTGTATGTCTGTGTGTGTACATGTGTGTGTGTGTGTGTGTGTGTGTGTCTGCGTGTCTGCGTGTCTGCCTGGATATATTAGCAGGGTTTGAATGTAGTTTTGGCCTTTGGCCCTTAGACTTCTATTAAAATTTCATTAATAGTCACACAACCCATATAGAGTTGAATGAGAAGCGCCAATATACTTAATAAGCATGACATTCATTTTAAACATCTCAACACTTAAAGATAATCCCTTTGTTTCAAGAAAAGACGGTTTACATAACTAAGTACCGTAATTGACACTAAAATATGAGCTTCATCTTAATTTCTGTTACGGCTGTAAAATTTCAGGCCAAGCCATAACATTGTACAGAGCGTAGCCCTTGTGAGTAAACCTTGTCTGTCATATGCTGAAGCCTTCAACTGTTAGTTCTGTGGGTGCTTCTGCCCTAGGATTTGGGGTTTCTGTTTCAGTGTTGTGTCTGTTGCCGGCAATGGACACATCGTATCTGCTGCTGGCCCAAGGAACTTCATTTTTCTTTCCAAATTAAGCCATTATATGTGCTAGTCTGTGTATAGTAACTCACTTCTTTTTTATTATTAAAAAGCTGACATTAGACTTGCATTATAAATACCTCTCTAGAAACTTTACTCTCCTACTTTTTCTTCCTTAACAGGTATAGCCCTTAAATCTTCTGGTCTTGAATGTCTTATAGCTGTTATTTTTCAGTTGTTGGTTTGTTTCACTTTAGTTCTATACTATCTGCCCACTAATATTTTTGCTTTGATTCTAGCAATGTATATGTATCTGTATAAAAAATAAAATAATGATAGCAGCCTAAAAATAGGATGCAACAAGAGCATATGGTTCCAAGCCAGTTGTGATTTTTATTTTGAAACAATGTTCTACTGGAAGGGAGGGAAGGGCTTACATTTACAGGCAGTAAAGTAGAGTGAAAAAGCAGCAACATTGACTTACGAGGCCACTGTCTAGCTAGTTTTATTTCATTTATTTGAAAGTCAATTTAAAATTTTAACCTTTGTAACTATCTAAAACAGGCAGGTAAAAGGATTCCTACTTGTGAAAGGTAAGTGATTCAGATATATAGGTGGTGTATCCTGCCCTTTGCTGTTTCAGTCCTGCAGCCATATAAAGCCACTATAATGTTAGACTTTCCCTGTCTCTCTCTACCTCTGGACATACTAGCTCCTGCTTCTGCCTATTAAAGTTCTACTCAGTCAAGCAGGCATTACTAGTATTAGATGGGTAGATAATTGAGTTGGTTTTGGGGTTTGTTTGCTTGTTCCAGTACTCGGGATTGAACCCAGGGCCATAGTGCATGCTAGGCAAACACTCTTACCACAGGGCTACACACCCAGCTGCTAAATGGGTTATTTAACAGGATGCTACCATAAAATAAGTTATTTTTACCCTTCCACCGTAGGAAGTCCAAGGTAATTTTTATAGTAAAGAATGAGTATTCCATTCAGCAAGTATCACACTGACATGGGTTACAAAACCACTCGTGCTGCCTGATACTTACCAAGCTTGAATAAGTGTGTGTCAATTTGATACTGAGTGTCTCCCTTCTAACCCTAGATTTTGATTCAACCAATTAACTATGCTTCATCTACCAAGAATGTAATCCAGGCAGCTAATAGATACAAATTCTTATTGTATAGATAGACCGACTATAACTGATAACATTTTGAACAGTTCTGCAGGGGTTTTTTTGTTTCTGGTATTTGGTTTTCGATCCATGGTGGGAATTGAGCCCAAGGCCTTGTTTAATGCTAGGCAAGTGCTCTACCACTGAGCTAAGTCCTAGCCGTGCTTCATGTTTAGTTTCAATCCCTCAGAGTCTTACTATCTCTCAGAAATACGTACTCTGAAGATGTTCTGAAGTTTTTTTAAAAATTAGAAAAAATCAATGTTTTATATCCTAAGACGCCAACCAATACAATCATTAGGAATCAGAAAACATAAAGGAAAGCAGTAATTCATATATGTTCTATCATCTTGGATCCTTGTTAAAGAACTAACTATGGATTTAGATTCACAATAGAATGGAGCCCTTTTATTCTTTGAGCTGTTTTTTTTTTTTGTTTTTTGAAATACAAGTTGGGCTCCCAATATCAAACTCTAGTCAAATGTAATAAAGGGAGATACAGTTTAGTATTCAGAATATTTAGTTTGCAACTTGTATAAAGGTTTGAAAACTAGCCATATTTTCACAATGTAGCAACTTTGCATTTAAATATATGAAAAGGACTCAAGACTGGTTTTGTACATGTGTGCTGATGAAAGTGTTTCATGTAAAACATTTTTGGTTTTTTAGCACATTAGTGCAAAGTGATGGCAAAGATATTTTCAAGGATATACATAATATATTGAGGTTGGCTTTCTTTGACATCGTTTTTCAATTGGTATAGATTCAGGTAAAAGAGGAGTTTCATTTAGAATAAATTCATGTCTGCTGTTAATATATTTAAAAAAAAGTGATCTGCCAAAGAATGAAGAACTTTGAATGCTAATGAAGTTGTTGAATAAAAGATTTTTAAACAAATTAAATAATAATATACATGATCCAGTTTTCACTTTGTGGTTGTCAGAACCCATCTTACACATTTAAGAAATGCATATGTATTAAGAAAAATGTGGACAATTACTTGTTTAAATTGAGAGTTCAAATGAGAAAATGTTAGTTATTTTTTAGTGGGATTGATGGAATTTCCTTTGTCATAAGGAATGCCTGTTTAGCTTCTGTTTGTGGGCAAAGAGATGTTAACTATTCCCTAAAAGTTTGTTCTACTGTAAGATGGTAAAGAACCTGGTGAATCTACAATTTCATAGTCAGAAAAAGTTGTGGATGCCATTCTTTACCAGCATATTAGAATGGGTCCATAGTTCAAGGTGTTGCCTGCAGCTTTAGAACAAGTACCCAGAGACCCAGGTCTTTTTTTTTTTTTAATGGAGTGCACACACACATACACCACCAGACACTTTAGATAAGTATTGGAATAATGAATCCATCATTGATCTATAAAAAGAAAAGGCAAATAATGGCTTTACAACTGACAAAATTACAAACATCATTTAATTGTAGAAAATCTAGAGAAAAAGTTTCTCTTCTTGGTTTGACATTCTCAAAATGTATACATGTTTTCCAAGAAGCAGAGAATGCCAAGACTTTATCTTCTGTAATCAACCTAGTCCTCATCTGCTTAATATCCATTATTAAACTCCTAGAATATAATCCATTCCTACTTTATTCACCATCCCCAGTGTGTACTTGTAAACCCACCTTGGAAGTGGCAAGCTAATAGCTAATTTTTGTTTTCATTGTTTTTCACACCCAAATCCTGAAAGACCAGGCCTTTTGCTGTCAATGTATTTAAACGAGTTTTTTGTTGTTAATTTTCACTTACTGATTTTTTTTCAAAATATTTCACTCTGACTTATTTATTATTTAACATTTTTGAGTGCCAAGAATTGCTAACTATATAACAAATTAAAGATATCATTCCCCAGTAAACATAAGCCAAAACATAGTAAGCTTAGTATGTAACTACTTTAGATTGTACCCTCAACACTTTTACCCATACAAACCCTCTCAAGTTGAGTAGTGTCCTGTTGAATGTTTTTTTTTTCCACTCATTTTGATCATATAAACTCATTTACTTCATTTCACTCTTATGCCACTTTGCTTCTGGGAGATGCTATAAACCCACTTCTGGCACATTGTAGTGGTTTCAGTTATTGTAGGTGTTATTTTTTATTTTAATAATTTTAAGACAGCTTTCCTATATATAAGTTGTAGGAGAAGATATAACAATTAGATGAGTATGAATTTATTAGACTTTAGAAATTTTGAAGGAGAAAAAAAATTTTTGAAATAACTACTTTTGTGCCAAACCAGTACAAACTAGAAAATGTGCTAAGGACTGAATAATCTGCCTTGTTCTTTTTGCCACTGGATGATGTAAGTTGAGAATGGAATTTTTAGCCCCAACTATATATTTTCTTGACTTTCATCAGTTTCTAAAGGAGTCTAATTTAAGTGTTGGAGGTTTTGTTTGGTCTGTATTTATTGAGTTCTGGTCATAGACCAGGATCCTGCATGTCATGCTTATGGACAGCCAGAATACAGTCATTGGGGATCTTCTGAATCGTTTAACTTATTTTGTATGTTGCAAAAAAAAAAGTTTATTTTGCTTGAAAGTCACATTTTTTATAACTGTACAGCTTTTAAGGGATGGGAGGTGGGAAAATACCCTAAAATAGGATGTAGATTTCTACAACTGTGTTTATGCTAGAACATCTGCAGGTGCATTATGTAATTAAACCTACAATTGTTTAAAAATTTGTGCCATGGTCTTTTTCATTCTCTTGCCCCTTAGCAGAGTTGATGCATATCAATACTGCTATATGGACAAGCCTTGAAACTAGATTAAAACCTGTCTCCAAAGCTTTAAGATCGTTGCATGAAAATTATACCTACATACATGTGAATACATATGTATACACACAGATCTAGTCTATATTAGTGTAAATGGGTTTCCAGGATCAGAACAGCTATAATAGCCCAAATTTGCAGTTAACAGCATATTCTCTCCATGCATGATTTTCGTGATGACTAATAGAGTATTCTCAATGTTGGCCTGGTGTTTTGTTCTCTTATCAAAGTAGCTTCTTGATTATAGTGTCTGAGTAGTAGCTTGCCCAAAACTGCTGTGAGGTTATCTGTGCACTTTAAGAGGGATGATAAGCTAAAAACAAAAAAAAAAGGGGGGGGGTTGTCCTGTGTTGAGGTGGGGATGGGAAAGGGCTTGTTTTCTATGTGTAAAAGAAAGACAAACTAGAATTGCTCAGTTTGGTTATTCAGTAGACTTAATTCCACAGGAATACCTGCTGAAACATGGCAGGAAAGACTCAAATTTCAGTTGCCCCTTATTTGATAGGTATTTTTGAAACCTTGTAGAACTGCTGATTCTAGCAGTCTTGCATGGCACATTTGACCATATTATGTTGCCACCTTTTGTTTAATGCCATGCTTTTCTGCCATCTGATTTTCCTGTACTAATTTCTCACCTTTGTAGCACAAGTGTATTCTTATAAAGAATTAAAATAATCTAAATGTGTCATAATTTCTAAGCAACCTTCATCTCTTGCCAGGAAGTCAGTTTCTTTGCTATCTTCACCATTCACAAGCTTGGAGACCATGAATTTCCCTGTGAAAAATACAAGTTCCAGATTTGTAATACAAGTTCCAGAATTGTAAATTGTCAGAATTTCACTTTAATTTTTAAAGTAATAACTGGGATCCAGAAAGCATTTGATCAGAGCACCTCTTGGACATTCAGATGTACTTACATGAAATGCTTTATTTTTCCTATGCATAAAAAAGTTATTGCTGGAATAGGTTCTCAGAATATTTTGTTTCTAAATGTGAGCTAATGCAGAAGTTCCAAGATAAGCATAAAACTAACTCTTAAGGCAAACTTAGTCAATAGAATCTGGAGTGCTCTCTATCACATAATACACAACATGTGTAAGGGAGGTGGGACGAGATCTGAAAGCCAGAAACATGATTCTGATAACACAAAGTAAATTTAGTGTATAAAAAGCATGGGAATTCCTGATAGCTTAAAGCTTCAGGAGTTAACTGCAGTGTATGAACACCTAGTGTGTTAGCACTGCA